TTTGCTCAGAGGTCTCCTAGAGACACGAGGATCTTTTACGTGCCGTAAATCTACGACACGGGACCCACGGCTTAAAGTCCTTCCCGGAGGACTTGTTCCCTGAATTTTTCCGCCCTTAAAAATTCCACGATCTCCGATTCAAATGACTAAGTTGTCGTTGTAGCATAAGATATGAAAGTTAGGCATCATCTGCTATGTAAAGCCTGTACTGACAGAGGACTTGTGTGTAGTGCAAAAAAAGAATTTTCGATAACATGTTATACGTATTTGCGAAATATACACTTGACGAAAGGTCAAGTTTATTCATAAGAGACAACCCCATCTTCTCGTCAGAGAGGATGTTACATAAGGACAATTACAGCAAGAGTTCAGTGTGGGGGGGGGGATCTCTGGTCGTGGACCTCAAGGGGCTTGTCGCCAAGACGAACTGATTGGCGGTAAACCGCCAGTCGTAAAGTAACTCTGACTCTGACTCAGTCAGTTGTGGATTCGACAGAAGCTGATAATTGTGAAGCACTATATTACTCCGAAACGTCCGTGAACTTCTACCAGACTACACGCCATCGCATTCCAGAAAACAGTACTCTTCATGTAGGATTTGATATTCTCACAGCAGTAGTTGTGAGAATTTCTGTTTTCTGTGATATAACGTCGTGTTATCCAGTGAAAACAAACTGATGTTTCGGAGGAACCTGTCGCCTCCGTCTTCGACTTTGAAAACGGAGGCAACATATTCCTCCTAAATTTCGGTTGATTTTCAATCTAAAACAATGAATGACTTTCAGAAATAAGCATGCGTTATTAAAGGTGAATTGAGTTTAAAATATGTATTTATCGCCCTGTGATTACATTGGCTTCTCGCGTTACGTAATGGAACAGGTTTCTATACTTGCAACTTGTCTGCCATCAGACAGTTTTATAGCGAACGCCTCTTTGTACATTTCTGGCGCAGAATATATTTAACAAAACGTATTTCCTCGTCCTATCCCCAAGTGCATACAAATACAATATATATCGATTTATGTGAGTTTGTTTCGATTTCCGTATTAATATGCAAAAATTAATGGAATTGGAGATACGCAGACAATTTGTAATATCATGTAATATGTAATACTTCGAAATGGCCGAACAATGAGTTTGTTACTGGTAAAACACATAAACATGATTTGTGGCCATTCTGGCAATAAAGGGCAATATATTTAATTGCCCTAAGGACGCCTTGCTTCGAACCATTTCCTTAAGGATATATAGGAGATACTTAAAAATGGTAAAAATGACAAATGTATGAAATTACAATTGTAGTACAGATTGTACGTTCTTTTTAATTCTGAAATCCCCTAAAAGTTTGGGCTCATTTCACTAACTCGTTCAAAATTTGTTGCAATTTTAATTTTCACTAAATTTACGCGTGATCTTGTGGAAATTTGTCACCTCGTACATTATACGTAGTAGAAGGAAAACGTGTAAGAAATTGTACAATGAGTTTAAAAATTTTTAAACTTATAACTTCAACCGTTATGGATAATATTTTAAAATTACATTCACCACACCGTTCAGGAGAAATTAATAATAATGTATTGAACCTCTGACTTTTAGTCGATTTGAAAGCTATTCACTGCAGAAGTGCGGCAACGTTGGAATCAGTCAGAAAGTAGAAAGGCAGCCAACTTATGGAAAATTACGGTGTTGTCAAGTTTAAATCTTCTCAAAGTGTATTTCAGTAATCGAAATGAATAAAATTAAACAAATAATTTAATTTAAGTACATTTTTTGTCAGTTTCGTTTCAGAGAGTAGTCACTCTCAAAAGTTTTATTACAGTGAGTGACATACATCATAAAAGTGATAAAATAAAAAAATACTCCCACATCAAAATTTATGACAATCATTTAATCGCTTCTGAGTTTATTTAAGGGCGGCCGCACACCAACTGCGTCAAGACAAGCATCAAGACATGAGACGAAAGACGCAGTCTTGCTTCAGTCGTCATTCATCAGCATGAAGTTGACGTCAGCATCATGACTCAGACCGGTGTGCGGCGGTTTCCATAATCTCATTCGTCTCAACTGTGCTCCTTTCTTTGCATCATGTCGCAGACATCGTGTCTTGACCGTTACACGTTTTGACGCATGCCGGTGTACGGCCTACCTAAGATATGCAAAGTGTAGATATCCTTTAAATTGGAATTTAAGCTACGTTTATCTAAGATTTTATCTCTTATATGTATATACTTAAGCCTTTAAAGCACGAAGAGAGAGAGAGAGAGAGAAGAAATGATAGATGTACTAATAGCGATGAGAGACAATGATTCTTGATGGGAAAGCAGGAATTCGCCAGTTCTGAAATTTTCCAAGCTGTTCCCTCTCTTCCTTCTCTTAAAGGCATGTAGAAGACAAGGTAAAGCGATGGGAAGTGTATTTTGTTATGAACAAAGGAAAGAAATTTAGCAGGTTCTTTGATCGAAACAACCATCACTGTTGTAATGTCCACTTTTAATTTCATTCAAATCAGTCTACCTGATCTAGTGTTGAAATGTGAGGACAGACACGACAAGTATGTATGAGTTCTGCAAAGAGAACATAATAGTATAATAGGTCTATATGGACAACATGAGTTGTCTGCAGTCTGAATGCAGTTCTCAGTAAAATTGCCATGAAACATCAGCGCAGGTCAAACAGGAGTAACTTCCCTGGGTTTCTTGCGTTACATTCTTTTGTATACTAAACGAATAAATTTCGGTCTCCTTTTTGTTCCGTGTAATGAACCAAATACAGAAACACAAGAAAATGTTATGAAATTTACTCCGTACTCTTACCAATATGTACGGTAGTTACAGCTGTTAAGGTAAAAAGCAATCGTTGCGGTATACAATTAACAGTGGGTTCCAAATCCTTGGTTTAATTTATTTTAATTTTAAGAGTAAACTTCTTAGAGGACTGTCCTCTGGAAATGTAATTTCATGTAGCACGGCAGAGGTTCACCGGCGTTTCAGATGAACCTACCGCTGCAGTCCTCAGGGTCAAAGAGTAACCAAAACATCAAGTACAGCATGAACTGTGTCCAATTCTTGGACGAAATATTTTTCTTGTAACTTGTATGCCTGATCGCAGTTGACCACAGTATAAAGCTTGGATACAAATCTTACTTTCATATTGGTTCACGTTTGCTGTAGAGAAAAATTCCGTCAATCCACTGACGGATAAATGTGCTGGCAGCAAATATTATGGTTTAAAGCTATACATATACAAAGACACGTTTCAAGATTTGTAATCTGGTAGGCCATGTAAAAATACAAGCAATAGTTCTGAAGGTGGTATTGTTAGTCTGTTGTGAGTAGTGAAGCAATTGACGGCGCTTGTTCATAAGTTCAAAGCGTACGCATTTATATAAAATCATTGTTTCTTTTAGGGAAGTTTTGCATTTGTATGTCAGTGTACATTGCATGAAAGTATGCAAGTTAGCTCTTCAGGTCGGTTAATTGAATGTTCTTTCTATGAATTTTCTATGTAACGTATAAATAAAATAGAGGATTTTAGTTTTGTTGATTAAGTTATTAGATCGCTTGTACCCAGTAATTTTTAAATGTTTTAAAGTGAAAATATTATCTGTTGAAAAGATAGGGATACAGGGATACTTGTATAGAGTTCATAAGAGACTCACTGCAATACTAGCTGTAACTGGTCGAAAGAAAAATATTCCATTAAATGAATATTAATATATTTTTAATTTGGATCCAATATGTGAACATTTCGGAGGAAACTACTGAAATTTATTACAGTACATAATAAATTTTAACCAATTCAAGCAGCATCAATTATTATAGCCTACGGCTTTGACCGGCACGAAACGACAGGACAGTCTTTGATTGAAGTTCGGCTTTCTTAATGCGTTTCTTTCAATTTTAGCATATATGCGTTTTGTGATCCAGGAAAGTATTTTCTTAAACCACATAACCATTTCGGCAGAGTATAGATGGTGCACATTTAAAAAATTCGGACTCTATGAAGACCGCAATGTTCCTTCATTACCATGAAAGTGTTTTTTTCTTAAGTCTATAGTAAAAGAGCAGCTATTAATTTCCCTAAGATTGATCTTGCTGCCTGGAACTACATAATTTGCTATTCGAAATAAACACATTGAACAGAAGTTTTTAATTTGAAATCGTTAAAATGTAATACATGAATATTAATTTATATTAATTTGAGTTTAAAGCGAAGATTTCAATATTTCTAATTTTCTTCTCTCCGCGACGAATTTTTATTTAATATTTTCTTCTCTCAATTACGATTTTCTGTTTAATATTTTCTTCTTTCTTGACGAATTTTTTGTTTAGTATTTTCTTCCCTACATGACAGTTTTTTTATTTAATAATTTCTTTTCCCATGGCGATTTTTTATTTAATAATTTCTTCTCTCTAACGAATTTTTTATTTAGTATAGACATTATAATCACAAAACCAAATTCAGTAGAATAAGATAGGTATACCTCCGAAGAATTTCGTTTTGAAAATGACTTACTCTAAGTATATAGATATTTTATTTATGTGCCCCTCACTATTTGCTGCTATAGACAGAAATATTGCGATCTTACGATTTGCTGTTATTAGCCTCTACGTACTCTGCTTGTATGGGGATATCAGTTTTACATCAAACATTATCTACACTCAATATATTACTACATAACTTGCTGCCAGTTCATTTTATTTTGTCGGCGTTGACGGAATTATTTTTGTTACAGTGTGGCGCTTTCCATTGTTCTGAGGCGTCGGGGCTCGGGAGGACGGCTCGGGTAAGTCTGTGATGACGCCCACAATTCCCATTGTTTTGTGTTCTTGTTCCCTAGAAACCAAGTATTCGCATTCATGAGCAATTCATTTTTTCCTTATAGTCTAAACTTCAAAGTAATGGTTATGAAAGTAACGAGACCCTGAAAGATACATTAAAGTAGATTAGAAGTAGATATTTATGTAGAAACCTGCAAATATCTATGTAGAAAGCTGCATATATTCAACTGATAACATTTTTAACGCGTTAACTTTAAAAGTTGCAAAAATTCATATATTTCTTCGCCATGTCTGATTTTTTATATGTAACATCTCGGGAAATTCCATAAAGATGAAGGGTAGTGTCTTCTGGAATATAACGACGTGTACTACATTGAGAGCCGATCGACGTTTCGGAGGAACATATCGCCATCATATGTCGAGTAAGATACCAGCGTGATAGCAGGTGACAAGCAGAGGCTCTGAATATTTATCGGAGCGTGAAATGTTTCGAAGAAGCGCTTTAAGGAAATACGAAATAGTCATTTCATATCAGACGAAATATTTGTAAGTTTACGAGTTACGAGACAAAGCGTCATTGTTTACGTTACGCGTACGTATCCCGAAGCGTACAGTTTTGTATCACGTATTATCGATCTTGTTTTATACATTACTAGTTTTGGAACATGCCGGCAGAAAGTTGACAATGTTTCTTGACGCACAGTTAAATTTAATTAAATTTATTAAATTAAAATAAAATTAAGATTAAAATCAAATTTATTAAATGAATTCAATTAAATTTAAGGAACGTGCAGATTTATGAAAGAAAGTATCCTGCTAATTTGAACTCAGTATGAAATATGACATTTTTTCCTGTAGGTTATGCACTCAGAGGTACGAGTATAGCGGTCTGTTAATTTTCTACTAATTGCACTAGTTTACAAAATGGTCCTCCATCAAGCGGCAGAGACTACTAAGCACGTCTTCGGTTTACGCACTTCTACAATATATAAGCGTTGACACTTCAGTCACGAATCATCTGCCCACTGGGTCGAAAAGCCAGTCTTAAGAAACCACTGCTCCTCAAAAGTGTCCAGATTTTAGGAAATATTTATGTACCGTAGTCTGTATTTCAGAAAATATTTTAACTTGTTGTATGGCTGTAAAACTTGGTCTCTGATATTAAGAATAGAACATAGACTGAGGGTGTTTGAGAACAGGGTGTTGAGGAGAATATTTGGACCAAAGAGAGATGAAGTGACATGAGGTTGGAGTAAACTGCATAATAGGAACTGCATAACTTGTACACTTCTCCAATTATAATTGGAATAATCAAGTCAAGGAGGATGAGATGGGCAGGGTATCCAGCACGAATGGGGGAGAAGAAGAATGCATTTGAGATATTGGTGGGAAAGCCAGATGGAAAGAGACCACTGGAAAGACCAAGGCGGAAGTTGTAGGAGAATATTAAAATGGATCTTAGAGAGACAGGATGGGATGGCATGGATTGGATTGATCTTGACTCAGGATAGGGACCAGTAGAGGGCTCTTGTGAACACGGCAATGAACCTTCGGGTTCCATAAAATGCTGGGAAGTTCCTGAGTAGCTGTAGAATTGGCGGTTTCTCAAGAAAGGCTTAGCTCCATGAGTGAGTGAGTGAGTGAATATACGTAAGTAAAAGTAAATTTATCCATATTTTAAATAAAATTGCATATCATGAAACCATGCAGTTCCATACATTATTAACTTCCGTAGTGGATGGCGTTGATTGGTCAGTTTCGCACTCTGGCCGTTTTGCCCAGGCATAATGGCCTCTGAATAATTGGTTGTGTGGTCCCCAAAGTCGGTGTGGATACAGTGACAAAAGAAGGTACTACTTGTCTTCAATAGCCGTTGCTAGGTTACGGCTTCCAACAATGTAGATTCCTCAGCTTCTGGCGACTGTCTCACATCTAAGTCATTGCCGTTGCTGCGGAAAAGTATTTTGCGAGCTGTTACCAAACAATGTCTGTCTTCTTCAGTCATAATGTCAGAATATCTAAGTTCTCCGATGACGCGTGATCTGAGGAAGAGTAGCGTTCTAAAGCGCAATTTGATACCACCTCAATTCGCGACATAGTTCAGGAGGGTAATCGCCTGCATAATGTTCAATAGGTTGCACTCATACAAGCTTGTTGAAGAGGTTGCTGACATTTCAGGCGCTCCATTAATTGTACGCTTTCAGTAGACGAGCCAAAGAAGTTTCGTGACTACGCGAAGTTGGTATGTCTGTGAATTATATCCAGACCTTCTATTCGCAATTTACAAAGGGTCTGCTAAACTAGTGAATTCCTTTGTAGCAGTCGAAGGTAGATCAGTGGTTACAAAACAGGGTTTACACAAAGTTTCTATCAGTAATGAAGAACGTTGAAGAAGAAATGCGCCTATATAGAATGAAGAGAACCAGTTGCAACAAACACATTTATATCTAACCATCTGGTAAAGGAGAAGCGGCAGTTCCATGGTTGAGTCAGTTAATTGCTGGCTTCCCGCCGCGGCGAAGCTGGTTCGATCCCAGGTAGGGTGATGTGGGACTTCTTGCGGGCAAAGTAGCGCTGGGACTTTTTCCTTCAGAGTATTTCTGCTTCCCGCAAGAATGTTCACCTTCATATTACAATCATCCGCCATTTTAGTTACATGCAGTTAGGTATAGTGTGTATCATTATGACGTGTCGTGTTTGTACAGGATTGTCTCTGGACATCAGAATAAGTAAAAAATATCCCTATATTACGCCTACTACATTAAGTTAAAGAAGGCAGAGTTGTCCCTATGTCTAACTAAATAAGCACCACGCTATAATGACGTATGGACGAGTGGAGGTATAACTCCCCCAGTCTCGACCTTGGCACTAGAAGGAGGTGATTAGTCAGCTTCAAGCACCGGTCGCTTTACGCCCAGGTAAAGAGTCCGCGGCACCCATTGGATAGGAGGCTGTGTTGGTCCCAGAGCCGTTATGGACGTTGTGGAGAAGATTAGATTCTCTTACACTGCTGGGAATCCAATCGCGACCGTTCAGACCGTAACTCATCGCTATCTCGGCCACATGACGGCTGTTAGTCATTCAGTAATTCCGCACAAGAAGTGTCTTGCTGGTCTCAGTGCAAGCAGCAGGCAGGTTCGTCTGTCAACACGGAACTGCCGTTACTTATCGCTGCGTCTGTTGTTTTGTTACAGTGCGTATCATAGTTCAGCTCTACTCACTTCCAGAGAAATGTTTTCTTGTGGTTTATTATACGACGTCGTCAGTGTCAAGACTATATAGCGTCGAATAGTAGGATGATTGGTGATGATGAATTTGAATAGATTTGGCGGGAAGTGGTCGTGGTCTAATAGAAGTACCATCCGGTTTTTGGCTGGAGGGACAGTGGAAAACCGTGAAGAAGCTCAAGATTACCGTTGTCCCTGGCGAGATTCAAACCCAGTACTCTTATTATATCATCATCATCAGTAATCTATCAAGACGACAGGTCCACAGTCTCTTCCAAAACAATTCCTCCATTTAATGCGATCTAGAGCTTTCTCCTTCAAATGACAGTATCCTCTTCTGTCCCCAAGGTCATGCAGCATCTTCTTACGTCTTCTTCCTCGTCTTCTTGTCACTTCTATCCGCCCTATCTTTCCTTCGATAACTTCTTTTAGAAGGCAGTTTCTGCGTAAAACATGACCAATCCAATTAGCCTTCCGTTTTCTTATTTCATGTAGGATATTCCTCTGCTCACTGACTCTAATTAACACTTCTTCATTTCTCACATAATCGGTCCAACTGATCTTCTCTATCCTTCTCCAACACCACATTTCGAAACTTTCCAGATGTTTCTGATCTACTGCCCTAAGTGCCCATGTTTCAGCCCCATACAGAGCTATGCTCCAAATGTAGCATTTCACTAGTTTCACCAACGAGGAGGCTTATTATATAGCGTCGACTATTAAGGCGGTTGATGAATGATGAATTGAAAAAACGATGGACTAAGAGAGGTAACATTCTGGAATTTGGCCAGGGAATCAGAAGAAATACACTAAGAAAGTCGGAATGTTTGGTGTTCCGGCCGATATTAGAACCTGCCATACCCGAATGCGTGTCGTCTAGAGGGAGAAGGGTCGCTGTTTATGTTGGGCATTCCCCGACATCTGCTTCCGTGACTGCGACTTCGGTTATATATGGATTTCCTGGAACGCGGTAGACGTGTAGAGTACTTACAAGTTCGCGGAAAAGGCTAACACGCGTGTACTGGTCGATCAATGAACTTCACTCAGTTTGATGGAAGAGAAACTAGGAACGACGTCTAGGTAGCCAGCTACTAACAAACGTCTCTTCCCACAGACATACTGGTTGATACGTTCACTATCGTCTCAATTATTGTGGATCCAAGTGAGGGGAATGACTTTTGTATGTACAAGTTATACAAATGAGGAATTAATATGTAAGATTTGAGGTTCTCAGGTCGTTGACTATGGAGATTACATATTGTGACATATTTGCTCAAGGCAAGAACTGTGGAGTCAGCGAAAGTATCATTGTTATATATTGTCACGTGTTGGGTATGCCAGGCGACAAATAAACTCACGTGGGTCTCGGATTCAGCGAATCTTTATTGGACATTCACACTTACACACCGTACAATTGTTATCAGTTGTAGTATCAATTCGCTTCTGCCTCAATGCACGACTCTCGGTTCTGTAACAATAATCTAGTACAAGTCAAAGTCACTTTGCAACTGACGGTCAGGCAGTCTGTCTGTCTGTCTGTCTGTCTTGGTGTCGAGCCCCGATTGGGGCTCATGACCAGATTTTTTTTCTTTATATGAAAGTTACTGTCCTGTTCATTTTGGTCTCCCTCTCTGACGAGAGGTCGGGTCTGTCATTTGTCAGTCATAGTCTGTGTTAGTAAGTCCAAGTCACATTGCGACTGACGTTCATTCAGTCAGCAAGTCTTGGTGTTACTGTTACTGTTACTGTTACTGTTGAACATTACGCTTTGTTTTTTT